ACAGACAGACAGACAGACAGACAGACAGACAGACAGACAGACAGACATTTTGAGCACTTTCCTTTCAGTGTCACCACAAACCGTTTCTTTTCCTGTCAAATGACACAAATCAAGAGACATAATCACACTCTTATGGTGCTCCACCATTTTTTTTCTTTCTTTCTCTGGACTCAACAGGTTGCTTACCACCACTTTGAATTCCTCGTCCTCTGGCTCCTCTTCTTCAACTCTGCAAAAGAACAGAGGCATCTTATACAGTATGCTGCTGTTACTGAGCTCCCTTTGGACAGGAAATGCAGTTCAGTGCCTCACAGGTGACACACAGGTGCATCCAGTTTTCATACCGACCATGGTCTGCGATTTAGGAAACTGATTTCTTCTCATAAGTCTGAATCAGAACAGGTCTGTTTGCAGGAATTTGCTCGACAATGTATACCGCAATTTCTACATTATACAAGATATATTATTTTCTTGTGTGTACATGAAATAAAAAACTTTTTGGTGGGTCAACTGTACACTAAACAGTCAGTTAAACCTTTTGACTGTCACCCATATGAACAGTTATTTACATTTATGCTATATCTGAGCAGATGGAAGTATTGCAACATGATAATATATAGGTAGCTTTTAAGATTTCCAAACATTATTACATTTTGGAGAGCAAAAAAAAACAAAACAAAAAAAAACTGACAAGCTTCCTCTATCACAACTTGATAATATTAAGTTTACCTGAAGATGTCCATCTTTCCAAAAATGAACTTAAAAAGTGAATATGAGAATAACCTGATGCCAGTTGGTGTTGAAGTTCTTTCATGTTCCTTGCTTGGCATAAACTTACTCTGATATTGGGGGAATGTGGACATCATTCATGTCAATTGTAGGTAAAGAGGTAAGCAGATCTCCTCTCTCATAGCCGTTCCACATCGTGCGAACACATTCAAAGTAGCCTCTCATCAATGATTTCTGGCATAAGACATAAGACACAATTTGAAAAGTTAACACTGATGAAGACAGAAGAAAATTAAGACATTATTACAGTTTCTTCTGTCTTACGTGTAGCCTGTTGTTCTGCCGGCGAGGTAACTCGGTTATTGACTGCTCGTTTGCCCTCTCAGCGAGGAAAGGGAAGCTGAACATTGGCACTTTGCCTTTTTTCCTTATCTTTTTTTTATCCGTCTTGGAGTTTTCATCCGAAGAAGAGTCTGAAGTGTCATCATCCTTTTGGGTTGATGTGAAGGTGGATCGCCTGCGTCTCTCGGATCGCACTGCCTCTGGCACAGGCGCCTGAGTGATGAACAGACTCTCCCCTGAATCACTGCACACAAACACAACAGTGGGGTCAGAGGTCAGACGGGAGCAGACGTAAATGAGACATGAGGGACATCCGTTGCTCACCTGTTTGCATCCCCCGGATGTTCAGACGTCTCATCCCATCCGCTCTCTTGGGCAGAGGTCTCATGGTCCGTGGAATCCGTGGCTAGTGTTTCCATCATTACATTAGAG